ACCAAATTTAGGAACTTAGGCTATTGTAGATTAAATAAAGGGTTCAGTTCAGAATTCCATGTACGTTACTCAGATTGATCTCTACCTGATGAAGACTTTTCCTGTTCCGCTCTATATGTCTAGGGATATCTCGTCTAGTTTTTAATCTTTAGTACTGTTCAGTTATTGCTTAACCTATTTCTATTGAATTCAAGTACACACTGCCTGGACCAGGGATTAAACTCACAATTAATATGTCATCAAATCCAGGAATCTATGCTTTAAGTCTATTCTAGATTAAATATAGGGTTCGGTACAGAATTCCATATATGGTACCCAGATTGATCTATATCTGATGAAGTCTCTTCCCGTTCCACTGTCCATGTCTCGTGATTTCTCGTCTAGTTCTTATTTTTAGTACTGTTCAGTTATTGCTCACCCTTTTTCAACTGAATCCAAGTACACACTGCCTGGACTAGGAATTGATCACACAATTACTATGTCACCAAATTCAGGAACCTATGCTTCAATGCTATTGTAGATTAAATAAAGGGTTCATTTCAGAATTCCATGTAGGTTACCCAGATTGATTTATACCTGATGGGGAGTGATTTCGTTCCACTGTTCATGTCTAGGGATATCTCGTCTAGTCTTTATTATTGGGACTGTTCAGTTATTGCTTATCCTATTTCCACTGAGTCCAAGGAAACACTTCCCAGGGATTGAACTGACAATTACTATGTTACAAAATTCGCCAACCAGCACTTTCAACCCGCTAGACTATCATACAGGTCAATAGCCTAATGAATTAAATATTTTCGTTACACTTAGTGCAAACGGAGTGAGCAATAGCTAACCGAGAACTACGTGATAGAACGAGAACAGTCTGATCCCGTAGAATAAATAAAGTGTTTAGATCGGAGTTCCCTGTAGATAATGCGGATCGAAATGCCCCTTATAAAGAGTGGAGACTACAACGACCGGGACGTTGGGATAACAACAACAAAAATGAGGACAATAGTCCGCATGTAAATAGTATAAATAAAATCAATGGGCGCTTATTAAAATGTAAAATAATAATAATAATAAATATAATTCATATATTCTCTGATATTACTGTGATGAGATATTTCATGGAAGAACCCATAAAGTGAATATCTACTCCTTTTCTTTATTCGATAAATTCCAAAGATTATGAGACAAAGTTGAAAGTTTATTAACGACACGGTTCGTCTGTGCGTCTGCCCTCTTTGGCTTACTAAAGTTAGATGGAAAGAAAGACAAAATTGTGTGAGAGGAAAATACCTTGGGATCTCTGACGATAAGTAGTAATCATACATCAAATTAAATTACATATCTTATCAACATCATTACCCAGACACAAGACGATGTCTGTCTGCCTGTTTGCTTATTTTATCTATATCAGAGGCGTTTGGCGTGGTTGGATTTTAAATCAGTACAACGAAAACCGAGAATGCTTTTTATCACACACACACACACACACACACACACACACACATATATATATATATATATTCCGGGTGTAACAGCAAAATTGTCCATATCGCGTAACAGCATAATTATCCATCCCACAAAATGTTTAATATCTAAAAAAAAAACACTAAACTAATTGAGTTTCTTTTTTCCAGGTTTTTAGATAGGCCGTTTAGCCATCTTGGCACCATTTTTTGTTGGAATCACTGAAAAACCATTGAGTTATTCAGCTAAAAAGTGAGCCGGTTCAAATGGTTTTGTGTCAGACCCACTCTCTTCCTAACTGAGCAATGGTTAGAGGAAAAGGATCATTCTGGCATTCAGTAATGGCACCCACATTCATACTCTGGCTTCCATCTTTAAAGTCCAGTCAAGAGCCATCAAGAGAACGGCGAATAAGTTCTAAAAAGGGGGAACAGTACGGAGGAAAACTGAATCAGGGAGGTGTTAACAGGAAAAGGCATCATTGTTTCAACTTAAAGCTAAAGAGATCAATTTGAAAAGATCCAACTCAATTTATAAGACGTTTGGCACGTGAGAGAAGAGTTTCAGGCTATGGCAGTCCAAAAATAGCAGTGTAAAAAGGCTTGAAATGAAATCGTATGTGAAACCTGTGAGGCACCTTCTTACTTCTAGACTAGAAGGTTAGAGAGGGCGAAGATCATCTTGAATAAGTTTGAAAATGATCCTGGAATAATATATATATATATATATATATATATATATATATATATATATATATATATATATATATCTTTATGCTCTCTAACGAAATTTAGCCTAGCATCTCTGTGTCGTTTCAAGAGGAGTGAGTCTTCTTAGACTGTTTTTGTGTAGTACATTACTTATTGTACGCTTGGTTACTTTAATCCCTAATGCACGCGATGTTCCTGCAGCTCTTCTCGGGTAACCTGTGGATTTTGTTGGATCTGGAGTCCTAATATCCTTGCTGATCTTAGAGAAATCTTCCTCGGAGCACCTGTTCGTCTTTGGTTTCGACGCTGTTACGAGTTTTAAACCTTGCAATGAACGAAGCAATTGTAGTAAAAGGAATATTCAGGTTGATAGAAATCGTTCTGTAACTGTTCCCATCTTCCCAAAGAGACAAAATGTGTTGTTTTTGTGAAATAGTCAATTCTTTACTTTTAGGCATTATTAGAACCTTCTCGTAAGACTAGAAATTGCTGAATGCTCTGATAATGGCTAATAGCGTTAACTATAATTACTGATAACATTACTGGAACATTCTAGAATATACTTTTTTCATAATTAACTGATTATTTTATTCTAATAGTTGATTTGTACGAATACTTTTTTTCACCAGTTGGAATTTAAAAAAATGCATTAATTTCTGTTAGAATAAGAATTAATTAAGTTTATTATTATTTTTTAATAGTATGAGTCTTTATACATAAAATGTGCCGAGATTTGTTTTATTTGAAGCTTTTACATTTGTAAAAAATACAATTTTTCAAGTGTACGAATATTTATTTCCCCCACTATATATATATATATATATATATATATATATATATATATATATATATATATATATAAAATAAAAGTTTGTCAATTAGCTGATTGATATAACCTCCAGCATTCTGACCCCAGAGTTTCGTAGGTGGACCCTGCCGTGCACTCTTTAGGGGTATCAGTAATTTACTGCTTAGGTATTCATTAACGAAACAGAATTCTTGTCGGTTGAAATTCATAAAATCCTTTACTTATACCTTGTTTCAGGAAAATAGTTTTCACTCGTCAACTGTTATTACTCTTTCTCGTTCTGATTGGCGTTTCTTTCCAATCGTTTTTATTTTGTTTTTAGCAGTGCAGAAAGTTAGAATCTTGATTTCATACAATAAAATCCCTCATATCCGGAATCCCTCATATCCGAAATCCCTCATATCAGGAATTCCTGATATCCGGATTGCCTCATATCCGGAATCCCGCATATCAGGACATGACTTCGATGTGTATATTTGAACTATTTGGGTGAGCGCGTGAACAACGATGAGATCTTAAAGAGCTTGCAAACAAGGAGGAGGCTTATACTTAATATCAAGAAAAGGCAGCTGAAGTTTCTGGGAAACAGAATGAGGAAGAAGGCCCTGGAGAATCTGATACTCACAGGTCGAATAGAAGGAAAGAGAGACAAGGGAAAACAACGCCTGACATACCTGGTGGGCTTGAGTAATTGGATGACAGAACGTGATCTGGGGGAGGTAGCAGAAGGGACTTATTGAGAGCTATAAGAGATAGGGTGAAGTGGAGAGCCATGATCACCTACGTCCTGAAAAGACATGGCACATAAAAAGAAAAGAAACTGCTCTGAAATTTCTGTTTTTCAGGAAATTTACTTTCGATAGTTGCTTATGCTTATTTCACCCTAATGGCTTGTATTGGTGCAAAAGATGATGGGAATAAGAGGAAAGGATGACAACGAGTCTCATCTGCAAATAGATAGCTACGAGATGCATGATTGTGATGAAACCTGGACTGAAATTGGAAAAGCTATTGAAAAGTTTGTCAGTTTTATGGAAAGAAAGTCAGCATTTAGCTATGACGATTACGCTAACAGACGCAGAGTTAAAATGTGTCATTCGTTTAAAAAAATTCAATAACAAAGGCAAAACGAAATGCGGAAAAATTTGAGAATGACATTAGAAGAGAAAGAATCATCATGCAACAGCAGATAAAAAATACTCGTTACATTATTTGTTTTGCATACGTGGCATAATTAATTTGATGAATTTTCATTAAGATTACATAAATTGTTTCTTTTTCCTTAAAATCAATTCCGTTATATTTCACTCACCATTAGCTTATTCTGTTTACTATAAAACATTGAAAATAAATGTTAAACCTGATTTCAGTTCTTTTATTTTAATCTAAATATAACCCCTCATATCCGGAGTTTGCAACCAATTCCTCATATCCGGAATCCCTCCTATCCGGAATCCCTCCTATCCGGAATCCCTCATATGCGGAATCCCTCCTATCCGGACTTTGTAACCAATTCCTCATATCCGGAATCCCTCATGTCCGGACTTTGTAATTAATTCCTCATATCCGGAATCCTTCATATCCAGAATCCCAACTATCCGGACTTTGTAACCAATCCCTCATATCCGGAATCCCTCCTATCCGGAATCCCTCCTATCCGGACTTTGTATCCAATTCCTCATATCCGGAAGGCCTCCGTAGTCCGGATGTCTGGGATTCTACAGTAATCATTCCCCCTTCTAGTTATGTGTGCTGACTCTTTTTGGTGTGTCCAATGTTGGAAGTGTTCAAGTGATGTGGTTTTTGCTATTTGGTAATGCTCTATGTGGTTTTGTGGCGCCAGCGTAATAGTTCTGATGAATGGTATATACTGCACCGTTCTTGTAATGATTGACATTGATTGTTAGAATAATTTGGTTTAGGACTCAAACGACGGGGTTATTGGCCGGATAAAAAATGGCTTGCCCAATGGATCACTTCTGCAATTCACTGTCCATTACAGCATTCTGGCAAAACATTTGGGCTTACGGTCATATCACGTTGAAACTCCGGTACTCCTACGATCACCGAAGTTAAGCAACGTCGAGCCTGGTAAGTACTGAAATGGGTGAATGCTTGGGAATAGCAAGTGCTGTAAAAATGGATGGACGAGTGTGGTAACACGTTGGAATTGGATATCAGAGAGTGGTGTTCCAATTCCAGTCGTGTTCATTATATTTACTTAGGTGAAAATACACTTGGGAAAGGTATGAATCCATCTGTTATTCCCCCATCTATGGGTTAATTAGTAAGACTTTTCTCAGTTAATCAGTATTATCTAAAATAATATTATAATAATAATAACCCCAAAAGTTACAATCTAAAAAAAAAAAATTCGGGCGTAATCTTAAAATGGATGATAAATAGTAAAAAACTAATCAATCAAAAAGGGAAAAATATTTGGCAACAGAACGGACGAGTTTGTTCATATCTATCTATCTATTTATCTATCTATCTATCTATCTATCTAAGTTTATTCACATCTATTTTGTCACGCTATTCATATCTATTTATTTATCTGATCATATCTATCTGTCTATGTATGTTTATTCATATCTATCTATCTATCTATCTATCTATCTATCTATCTATCTATCTGTCTGTCTTCTGACCATTACTCTGTAAGATTTAAATACCTATTTACGTATGTATCGCTGCGTACACGGGTAAATCTCTTCAAATTGAATTATTTAGATTTAACCCGAGTTCTGCCTGGTTCAGAAAGATCTGCCTTGTTCATAAGGAAACCCTTAATTAAGCAGAGCCTCACCAGAGGTTTTCATAAATTTAAAATATTTCAAGACATCGCCATTCTACAAAGAGAACCTAATCGTTTTGCGAGTGTTTACTGGGAAGCAATTAATGGTAGCAGAATAATTGAAATTACGTTAAGAGTTCTAAAAACACTTGCTTAATTTCGCACCTTTACAATCACAGGTTCGTAAATAAAGGTTCTTATGTATTTAACTGCAAAGCGAGAGGATTCATTTTTGGATTCTGCTAAAGCCTAAAGAATATTGGAATGTCGAACTGAACCCTTTATTTCGATCACTGGGGTAGACTGTCTAGTTCCATGTGCCATGTTTAATGTATGTCAGTTATCTCCTGAAGAACACATGGCACAATGGATAAAGGTGTTGGTTAGATCCAGTGACAGGACCCAAAGAGTGTGAGTTCAATACCCGGTTAAGGCAGTGGAGAACTTTCAGAGGGAAATTAACATGAGATAACTGACACGAGGAACTAGAACAGTCCACCCCAGTGAGTGAAATAAAGGGTTCAGTTCGACATTCCAACCTCCTGGAGAAGGCTGGAGCGTACAACGGCCGAAACGTTGTTATAAATATGGCAACAAAGATGAGGACCATAGTCCGAACAATGTAAATAGTGGCATTTGTCTTTCATAAACTTGTTGAACGCAAGTCAGTCTAAGGAATTTTTATATCTGAGGTTTTTTCTGTTTAAAGGGTTTTTGGTTGCTTTATCGGCTTATTTATTTATTTCCTTGGACACCGATATGCTTCGGCATTAAGCAAAGGGTTATATCTTTATTTTTGAAAAGAAGATTCATCCGGCTTTTCTTTAATTGGGAGTGGATTCTTGTTATTTCTGTTTTGTAGCGATATTAATATGGATTTAGAGTCAGAAAAAAATTATGGTTTTATCATTCAATTCTCATTCCTTCTCGGTCTTTTGAATAAGAGTAGAGGTTTATTCCTTCCATATTTCATTTTTAGGGCTGTGTTTCCGATTCCTTCTAAATTCTAATTCAATTCCATACTTCTAACCCTAACCTTAACGTTAACCCCCGCCGGAGCGTACAACGGCCGAAACGTTGTGATAAATATGGCAACAAAGATGAGGACGACAGTCTGAACAATGTAAATAGTGCAAAAGTTAAAGTGTCGAATGTTTGGAAATTAAATAAACCTCTAAGATGACATTGATAAAGAAAAGACGAAATGTTATTGACGAAAGAGAAGACAGGGAAAAGAATATATCTGGAAATCTGTGCTGGAAAAGAGAAGTAAATAAAAAAAGAAGATGAATAATAATAATAATAATAATAATAATAATAATAATAATAATAATAATAATAAGGATCTTGAAATAGAAATCTCGAAAATGTGGCACATAGGAACATCAACAATCCCTGTTGTAGTTGGAGCCCTAGGATTGGTTGGAAAAGATTGCAGTAGACTAATTAAAGGGATTCTTGGAAGTCCATGCCTCAAGGAGATACAAAAAATTGTTCTGACAAGTACAGCCCACACTTTACGAAGGGCTTTATCTATGTAAATTTTTTTTTTTTTGTGTCAGTGGAAAGTGTTATGATGCCATTTCTAACCTTAGGTCCCTGGGCGGGACCCGGAAAGAAATGTGTAAACCCCAGAAAACAAAGAAAATAAAAATAATAATAATAATAATAATAATAGCAGCACATATACTGGAAAATTGTGTGAGCCCAAAATGCGGATTCTGTAATGAATACCTAGAAACTATTCACCATCTTGTATCAGGTTGCACGGCATTAGCACCCAATGAATATAATACTCGGAACAACAGTGTGGGCCAATATTTGCCAATACTGGTATGTACATCACCCATACCCGGTCACAAGCATAGGACCTGTAATAATTTAATGGGAATTTACAATATACACGCACCAAACAATAAAAGTGAATCGCCCAGACATCACCAATTTTTATAATCTTCTATTGTAAGGTTATTGTTATAACAGAAACTCGTACTTGGTAAAACAAAATTCGTTAAGCATTCTCTATACGTAATACTTAGGCTATTGCCGTAACCCCTGTATAGTTAGTATGAAGACTGACTCCAGTAACCTGATATCAACTCCGTATCATACAGAAATTAGATGTGACATATAGCCGAGATTATTCTGGGGAACCCGAGCGTTTCCACCCGGGACATTGGTCAAGTTATGTACCCGAACTCGCTTTCTGTTTTTGTCTGTTTTTCTAAGCCGAGTCTCTACCCGAAGATAGAGCCCCGACTGAGTCACCCTTTGTCCGAAATCAGAGGTCTTGTTTATCGCAAGCCTGTCAGCGAACTACTTGACTTCAATATCTCTAGGTATTTAACCAGAACTCCTCACAAAGGTAGGATGTGGCAAAAGGCCCGTTTTTTTTATTACGTGGGGCGATTCCGAGCGCATAGGCTCAGGCAAAATTTGCCTGTAGCCTTCGTATATATGGGATCAGGTAAGTGTCTACTTGCCAAGACGAGACTTTGCCTTTCGGCATAGTCTCGTTTGGTTTCCTCTCTGTCTGAAGGCAAAATGGTTGACAAGCTGAAGATTACGGTTGTAATCTGTCTGATTCCTCTATGTCTACCCTCGACCTCATGTCATGGAACTCTTCATAGTATTGGATGAGTTCATAGAGTCACCAGGGGTGTACTCTTTACTCCACAGCATTCCCCACTGTTGATATTACTATTTATTAAATAAATATGGCACGTGGCACTAAGTCTACCCCAGCGAGCGAAATTTCAGTTCCGTTCGACATTCCAACCACCTGAAGAAGACCGGGGCGTACAACGGCCGAAACTTTGTGATAAATATGGCAGAAAAAATGGGAGCAATAGTCCGAATAATATAAATAGTGTACATAATACCTCATCTCAGAAATATAGACACATACTGAAAGGCCGAAACGTTGCAATAAATATGACGACAAAGATGAGGACAATAGTCCAAATAATATAAATAGTGTACATAATACCTCATCTCAGAAATATAGACAAATGTATGTTTTATTTCGTATTGTTATCTACCCCTCCTCTTTCTGGAGCGTTCATCAACATTTTATTTTGTATCGATTCCGTCTTGGATCCACTTCTAGTTCATCTCTACGTTTTCTTTTCCTTGAACTTTTCCTTGTTGGTTCCACGATTTGCTTTGGCACTGGCACATCAAAAATGTCGTATAGCGTTCTTAACCTGTTCTTCAGGTCTTTTGTCAGTTAATGCTTTCTTCAGCTGATTTTGGTGCATTTTATATTGTTCTTTTCTTCTGGCGTTCAACCTTGCAAAAGTCTCTTCTGGAATTGGTAATGAATTGTTCTGTTTTTCAAGACAACCATTTAATCCAGTGGAGAAATCCGCGCAAACACAAATTTTGTCATTTTTTTTTAACGTACTTCACTGGTGCAGCCCATTTTGAATGGTTTATTTTTTGCAATACATCAATTCTTTCTAGTTTGTCCAACTCTTCATTTACTTTGTCTAATGTTCGAATGATACTCTCCGTTTTGGTTAAAATACTGGCATCGAACTTTTTTTTTTTACTTGAAAATTCACCTTGAATTTTATACACCGATCCAGTTCTTTAGACAGAACAGCAAGAAATTTTTTTTTTAATTCTCCCTTCAAGTTTTTGCTTTAACTTTTTAAAGTTGTCACTTATATTTTCGCAATAAGCGTTTATCGGCAAATCCGTTCGATTAGTTCCATCCAATTCGTAGCGAATAGATTCGTCGCATTTCTTAGAACATAAGCTTTTATTTTTACCTGCTTATTTCGAAAGTAAACATCTCATGTTAATTCTCACCAAAAAAAAAAAAAATAAATAAATAAATAAATAAAAAATAAAATAAAAAAATAAAATTCTCACCAGAAGCTTAAGTTGCGTCATTGTCAGTTATTTTCAAGAGAGGTTATCAAATTTCTTTCCTCGGGCTTCATTTACTATTGAAATATCACTACCAGTATCTAGTAACATTCTTACTCCCAAATTTGCACATTAAAACATTTTCTTTTGTTTCGTGTACCTATTTTTTTCTTTCGCAATATTGTGTATTAATTATTCTTGCGAAAATTATTCTTGGCTTAATTCTGCAGTATGATTTGGTATGTCTTTTTTCACCACAGTCATTTTTTCATGGACAGTCTCTCCCAAGATGTAATTTCCTACATGTGAAACAAGGTTTTATATTCATTTTGAAGGCATTTTCCCTTAGCTTTTACCAATGCCCATTCTTTATTCTGAAGGTTTTCAGCATCATGCTTCAGACTTGAATTGTTTGGCATTCATCCATTATTTCCTGTAGTGTTTCCTTATTATTATGTTCAAT